AGATGTGATTTTCATTTACTGAAGCACTAGGTATACAATGGAACATATGTGTGGTTTCTGAAACAAATAAACAATAAACAATAATCAATACAGATGTTTCACAATAAACATTAATAACTGAACAGCATACAACAAGTATAGAAAGAAAATAATGGCAAAGTAGATAATAAAGGCGCAATTCTCCGAGTGTCCAAAAGAGGGCGCCAAGAGCACATGAATCCCGCATGATGGCAGGGTCTTTGTCTGGGCATGTCCAACTTGAATGATCACCGCAGGTAGCCAATTATCGTCGCATAACGCGCACATACGTGATATACTATAAACATACATCAGTAACATACTAAAATGTGTACATATGAACATATAACTACAACTTGTACTTAAACACTTGGTAATTCCCGAGTTTAAGCTGGTAATATAAGCAGTACTGGGCTAACAAGCTGCTACAGGTGGTACGTGAACAACAGCTGATCTTCTGTCAATAATAACTTTATAAATAGTGATCACTTACTTTTAAGACACGCACACTGTAGCACAGTATACCAGTAGTGACTGTTTTGTCTCTTTGTGCTGAGTGAGTTTGATAGCAGGTGTTATCGCCAGCGTTATCTCCCGTGTGCACTGTCGCTCTCAACCTGTTCTTAGCTCAGCCCACCTCGATGATACTGCGTTGCATTGTGCACTGATTGGTTGGTGTCATCCGGGACGTAGACATCAGCGGTCCTTTTGCACACTAGTATTGCCTTAGCAACTGCCTACCAATCACACAGAACATCCTAACAACGAACCAGAACACCTTAGCAACCAACTATCAATACATTAGCAATTTTCTAGCAACACCTTAGCAGCTACCGAGCAACACTAATCAACATCATAGCAACTGCCTAGCAACCAATTAGAACACCCCACTGCCTAGCAATCACACAAAACATTCTAGCAACGAACCAGATCCCCTTAGCAACCACTTACCAACAGCTTAGCAATTGCCTAGCAATACCTTAGCAACTGCCTAGCAATGCCTTAGCAACCACCAGCAACACCATAGCAACTGCCTAGCAACCAATTAGAACAACCTAGCAACCACCTAGCAACAGCTTAGGAACTGCCTAGCACCCACTCACAACACCCTCGCAACTACCTAACAACAACTAAGAACACCATAGCAACTGCCTAGTAATGCCTTAGCAACTGCCTAGCAACCACACAGAACACCCTAGCAACAACTTAGCAACCACACAGTACACCTAAGCAACCACCGAGCAACACCTTAGCAACCTCCTAGCAAAACCTTAGCAACCAATTAGAACACCCTAGCAACCACCTAGCATCACCTTAGCAATGACCTAGAACAGTGGTTCCCAACCTTTTTCTTTGGGGCCCCCCCCATAAACATATACAAACATTGGAGCCCCCCCACCATATAAATACACACGCACGCATGCACGCACACACATGTGTACTGTGTGTATATATATATATATATATATATATATATATATATATATATATATATATATATATATATATATATATATATATATATATATATATGTATGTGTGTTTGTGTAATATTAATATATAGTAATATGTATAGAAAATATTAATTAATCATTTTTAACTTGTCTTGGCCTTCAATAAATTAGGTAGGCTTTGTCATACTGTCTAATCTTTTTCTTCGCCTCTGAAGAATCACTGCATTTACGTTTCTCTGTCGATTTTGTTTTGATTTTGCCTTTACGACACGTTTACAAGCAGATTGCGCGAGTGAGCAAAATTTAAATAATTATTTAAAGTTATTTATTTTAATTATTTTCACTATTATGAAAATGGAATTTTAAGCATGTGTTTAGATTATTTTTTATTTTTTGGGCTGCTCGATTTTGGGAAAAATCATAATCACGATTATTTTGGTCATAATTGTAATCACGATTATTCAAAACCATTGCCAGTTAAAGTCAAAATTATTAGCGCTCCTGAGATTTTTTTTTTTTTTTATAAATATTTCCCAAATTATGTTTAACAGAGCAAGGAATTTTAACAGTATTTCCTATAATATTTTTTCTTCTATTTGTTTTATTTTAGCTAGAATAAAGACAGGTTTAAATATTTTGAAACCAATTTAAGGTCAATATTATTAGCCCCCTTAAGCAATATATATTTTTGATTGTCTGCAGAATAAACTAGCGTTATAATGACTTGCCTTATTACTCTAATTAAGCCTTTGAACTGCACTTTAATCTGAATGCTTGTATTTTGAAAAATATCTAGTAAAATATTATGTGCTGTCATTATAGCAAAGACAAAAAGAAATCAGTAATTAGAAATGAGATATCAAAACTATTATGTTCAGAAATAAGTTAATAAAATATTCTTTCCATGAAACAGAAATTGGGCAGGAAAAGGTTTGCTAATATTCAAGAGGGCTAATAATTCTGACTTCAGTTGTATACATACAGTTATTTTCCACCCTGCAAAGGAAAGAGAAATAAATACAATAGAATAAAAATATGAAACAAACTGTGCTTTAAGCATCTTCACTGTAAGAAAAACACTTTAGCTACAGCAGTCCTTCAGTCAAGAGCAGCGAGGGCTTTCTCGTTATGTTTATTTAATAATGATAAAAACAGGCGGCAGCAGGAATATTTCTAGCTGTATCTTTAATGGTTTCTCTTTCACGTCTTTTGATCCTCAATTCGTTTGTTTATTACCCAAATGAGGGTGAATGTAAATAATCACTTAACACCGCGTTTTGACACCTATTTGACCATTAAAGCGCTCACGTTAAGATGACTTTAGATGTCTGCGCTCCTCTGCTCGTCTCAGTGTGTGAATGAGAGCGAATGCTGACCGGCCGCATGCTTCTGACTGCGTGATCGTGCTGCACACACACATAAGCTCTTTCGCGCTTTTAAGAGCAACACGTGTACAACTGTGGCGAAATATGATGCAATAATCATTTATCTCGATTAATGCTTTTTTATAATCGTTTGAAACCGAAATCTAAATCGGATTTTCAATTAATTGCAAAGCCCTTTAGCACCTAGCAATGCCTTAGTAACCGCCTAGCAACCAATCCAGAACCCCCTATCAACTGTCTATAGCAGGAAACATGCCATTATAAACTAGAATGCAGTGATGACTGATTCAGACATCTTGAACTCTACACTGTCAGATCACAGAGCTTCACTCTTGAAGAATAATGAACACAGAATCCAGGATAGAGTGCGTGTGTGAATGTGGTGTGGAGTGTGTGTATGAGGCTCATTGTTGTGTCAGAGACGCTGTAGAAGGACAGAGTTCCTGCACTGTGATCCACATACACTCCTATTCTAGTGGAGCTGACGGAGGGTTTAGGGAGTTTAGTCTGTTTATTATTATGATAGAATATGAAACTGTCAGCAGAGCACCACAAACTCCAGGAGTGATCATTGTATCCAAACAGACACTCATTACCCGAACCCTTCCTGCTGATGCTCTTATATGACACTGATAAATACACATCAACACCGCTCCACTCCAGCTCCCAGTAAGAGCGTCCACACACACTCTCTCTACACAACACCTGATACCAACAATTAAATCTGTCTGGATGATCAGGATACCGCTGGACTGAACCTTTATATTTCACCACTGTGTTTCTTTCAGACAGAACCAGCCAGTTATTCACTGTGTTTGGATCCAAAGTGAACTGTTGAGAATCTGATGAAGATAAAAATCAGGAAAAATATCAATGAATTTCTGAGTGACAATAATGAAATCATGACTGTATTATTATTGATCTGTTTCAGTTCATCAGAATGTCTTTACTCTAATATTATTTGCACTTTTGCTGATTAAGAAACAAGAACTATGAATGTTTCAGTACATGTTCAACCCCAAACCAGAACACACTGGGACAGTATAGAAAAGGCGAATCAGGAAAGTGGAGATTTCTAAATGTTCTTTGACTTGTATTTCACTGCAGATGATAAAATAATCCTGATTTAATGTGTTCCTCATGACTTTTATTATTAATCACCAATTTCTGTTCCTGCAACACATTTAAATAAAGTTGTATCAGTAAAGCATTTATCAGTCTGTAATGTTGCCGTTCCTTTTCACAACACTTAAAGACGTTTAGAGACTGAAGACAGCAAGTGATGAAGAGTTTCAGGTGTCATTTTCCTCCTGCAAACAAATCTAAAGGTGTCTTAGGAAGGTTTCTACACAGAGTTGAATAAATGAGACTTTAACTAACCCAGTAAGATAAACTAGCTGTGTGATTATATCTAGAGCTGCTGATTCTGTAGAGTTCAGTGTGTTTAATGTAGATCAGGGTTGATTTGAGCAGTTCAGCACAGTTCAGTCTGATTGATGATATATGATAAGAATATATGGAAACGGCCACAAGAGCTCATTATAGGTGTTTCATTCTCAGTCAGCTCATTCAGGTTAATGGCTTTGAGCAAAACCCCGAAACCTCACACAACATCTCACTCATCAGAACGCTCTCGTCTCAGGAGCTCAGTGATATATTCCAGTGACATATGCTGGTTAATGCAAGTCCTGCAATCGTGATGATGAGCATTATAAGCGTGTGTGTTTTACTGTCTCCTGTTTACACGTGTGTGTGTGTGTGTGTGTGTGTGTGTGTGCTGTTTAGCCAGGTGAACATCACTACACGTGTTAAAGCTACTGTAGCAGCCCTTGGTGAGCGGAGTGAGGTGTGTAAGTTTTGTTTTGAAACTGTTAACTGAGCCAATTATTGTTTATCTGTGACTTTACACAGCTCATCTACTGTTCACTGTACACAAACGCCTGATCATGAACTGTAAAGGTGTCAGAGTTCATTATCAATCTGCTTTGTGCTGATTTGTGTGTTTACTTCTAGTTTTCACTGTTTCTGCTGGTTCCAGAATAAAACACATTACAGCCATCAGAGACTCTCTGCCTCATATGAAGGAATCCAACACAATATATAACTATAATCTTTAATGTTCAGTATGATCAGAGTCACTTACACTGGAGGAACTGCTCACGGGTCTTTGGTACAGGAGCGGGAATCCTGCTAATGCTGCTCACTGTGGAGACAAACAGATGATTTACAGTAAACATTGTTAAACAATACAAATACATTTAAAATCATCTGAAACATGTCAGGAAATATAAATCTGACCTCTTCTAGAAATCAACTTTATCTCCTTTTTGCCGAAATGCTCCAGATCCTCTCTCAGATGAGACACAGATTCAGCGATGTCATCAAAAACAAGTGGAGAGCTGCTAATAAAGCTGGATGAGTCTGTAGATCCAGGAGGGACAGAGAGAGACTGCAAACTCTACACAGACACAACAGAAACAGCAGCTGAAGACACACAAACACAATCTCTGCTCCACATGCTCTTCCACTGTCCTGTGTGTCACCTGGAGGAAATGGATGTGATCTTCTGTGTGTGAAAGCTGCTCCAGCTCAGCGTTTCTCCTCCTCAGATCATTGATCTCCTGCTCCAGTCGCTCCAGTCGTTCTTCAGCTCCACTCACTGCAGTCTTTTCTCCATCTCTGATCATCTGCGTGAGCTCCGAGCGGCTTCTCTCAATCCAGCAGATGAGCTGAGTGAAGATCCTCTCGGTGTGGTCCACTGCGGCCTGTGCAGAGCGCTGTCACACACACACACAGAAGCATTGGACTGTGAAACTGTTTTGGGTGTATGACGCTGCAGATATCTGAAAGGCAGATTGTTTTGGTTCTTCAGCTATGATGTGAGACTTTATTACATCTACGATTGATCAGAAGTGTACTGTTTTAGATCCACTTCCAATGCTAAGTTGGTTAAGTTAAATTTAGTACTCATGCAGACAGCTTCAATCCAAGGAGGAGACAAGGATGCCCAGCCGGTGCCTTCATCATTGTGGGAGATGTAAACCTCTGTAACCTCTGTAATAGTATGCTCAAACTGTATCAGTTTGTGAACTTTCCCACCAGAGGAAACCGGACACTTGAGCACTGTTACAGCAGCTTTAAATATGCATACACCGCTGCACCAAAACCTCACTAAGGGTTCTGTCTGCCTACACCTATTTACATCAGGAGGCTAGAGGCTGAGCGGGTCAAAGTCAGAAATATTAGCATCTGGTCTGACAGAGCACTGGCAAACCTGCCTAGAGATCACACACATGTACCTTCTTAAAGATGCCACAAACCACATTGATGAGTACAGAGACTGTACATGACTTTGGCCCAATCCCAATTCTACCCCTTAGCTCTTCCTCTTCCTCTTCCTCTTCCTTAGTCCCAATTCTCTTTAGCTTGAAGGCGTAGGGCTAAGAGGAGGGGGTGAATACCCCTTAGAAAGAAGATTTTTCAGAATCACACTCGAAAACCAAGAGGTAAGAAGATTTCCCAGAATACACCAGCCACAACTGCACCCGGAAGTCAGGAGATCCACAAATTAGCATTTTTTTCTCATTATTACGAATTTTTACCACAAACAAACATCTTTTAATATATTTATAGCCACGTTACCCATGTTTTACCGTCATACTTAAAAAAAAAACACTAATAAAAAAACACAGAATTTTGCAATCTACAATCCATAATAATAACTTCTGTACAGCAGTCCCACAACATTCTGACACTCGACGACACTTGAATACCCTGTCAGAAACATCTAGTGGCTGGGAATGACGTTGTACAGTGTCTGCCATAATGTTAATGCTGTTTTAGTGTGTTTATATAGATGAATATGGCCACTGTGTAAATGCACAGTACAGTTACGATCTTATTGCCACATTAGATTGTTATGATAGTATTATATTTGCCTTCAGTGATTTCCTGAAGATAAATACCAAAAAATAACACAACTGGAATCACTACAGCAGTCGCCATCGTCTGATCTCATATGAAGCAAGAGATCGCGATGACATATGAGGGCGTGTGCAGGTGCTGTAGTGCTGTCCCAATTCTTAGGGGTAAATTTTGCAGCCCTTCCCCTTAACCCTCAGTTGTAAGGGCCAAGGGGAAGGAGTAGGGGTAAAAAAATAGAATTGGGATTGGGCCTATATCAGCTGATGTACAATGATCTGTGTCTCCTCCAGAACTATACAGGTCTATCCAAACCAACAGGACAGGTTTAATGTTTGTATAAAACCAGGAAGAGATGTGAGGCTTTCAGGTCTGTGGAGCAGTATAAACAGGCCAGATTTGAGCTTGAGAAGTCCATTAAGGCCACAAAGTGGATATACTCCCAAAGACTTTGTTAGATTTGGCCATATATGGCTAGTCTGTCTTTGGGTGTCTTGTCAATGTATTAGATGACTCTAATACGTAAAACAAGTAAGCTGACCAAAGTTCTTACAGGGAGATTGTATGAAACAAGGCGTACAATCTATCAACTTGAAGAACGATCTCTGACAAACAACACACATAGCATGTGGCAGGGAATCTGGTCTGTCACAAACTACAGGAAGAGTACAGATGTGATGGTTAGTGTCACTACACACTTCCTAAATTCCTAAACGGTTTTATGCCAGGTTTGATCTAATAAACACAGATATCCCAAAAAAGCCCCCATGATCCTGAGGACATCACACTGCAGGTGACACATGCACAGGTCCTGAGGGCTCTGAAGCAGGTGAGTCCACGCAAGTCAACAGATCAGAGTGGGGTTTCAAACAAGTCCTTAGAGCCTGTGCAGAATTTGCAGGTGTGTACACTCCTATTTGTCAGTCAGGAACACAGACCTTGGACACCCGTATTTTTAAAACCAGCATTATCATGCCACTCTCCAAGGTATCAAAAGCAACTGCATACAATGACTACAGACCCATGGCAATTACAGCAGTTGCCATAAAGCGTCTGCAGAAATTCATCCTTACATACATCAACACTGTTGACCTGCTACAGTTTGCCTATGGTGCTGATAGATAAGAGGATGATGTGTATTGTTTTACAAGCTACTCTTATTGACTTTGCACAAATAATTCCTCTGTACTGAAATGCAGGTACATATGGGAAATAAAGTTATTGACTTGTGCTCAAACTCACCTTGTGAGACTCCACAGCCTTTTTCAGCTTCTCCAGCTCCTTCTGTCTCTCCTGGAGTCTCTGCTGGAAACTGCTCTGGATGTTCTTTAGGCGTCTCTGCAGGATTCACACTTTACACTCAATATACATCTCATATAACAGATTCGTTGGGCCACAACTCCAGAATGTAATCTATAGTGTTCCAGTCATGCTGGAAAGATCGTATTTTTATATTGCAAAATGCCACTATATATAACAAATATTGTTAGAGTGTAAGGAGACTCTATTATTTAATGGTGCTTCATGGCAGTAGGTGGCACTAAAGATCTCTTCCAGTTCTTGTATCTTGGCAGAATTGTATCTTGCCAATATGAATGATAGAAAGCAAACTCTATGTCTGTATGCCATTCAGATTTAAAGAAGTGCTTTTTAGATCTGGATTGGTCGGCTGGTGTGAATAGTGGACATGGGTCGCCAGAAGTTATTGAAATAAGAGTTACTGACAATCTGAGTCAGTAGTTGAGGGATCGGTTCCTTGCTCAAGGGACCCACTCAGCCTTGTGAAATTGAGGGAAACAATCTCTGTCAGTGCTGGGACTCGAACCTGTGACCTTTAAATCACAAGTCCAACTGTTTAACCATTAAGTCATGGCTGCACCCAATGGCATTGGATTGACCAGGATACAAACTCAGGTCAGCTGTTGGAAGGCAGCTATGCTCAGCACTATACTACCAATGCTTTGATTGCCTGCATCAGTCACAGTCCAACCGGTTTAGTTCCATCCACATACCAGTGGTTTTCAGACTTGTTTATCTGGATCAGGTGCATTAAATTAAAGCTAAACACAAGGCAGTGGCCCTTTAGAAACTGAGTTTAATGAAGAAAAGAGTTTAATACACAGATATATTTAAAGGGACATGTATTATTAATTACTGGACTTTAGTAGGTTCTTACCTGTTGTTCAGTCCTCTCTGCTACAGCTGAAACAGTGTTGTGGTTTTTGTGTTGATCCATTGTACACAGATAACATATACATAGCTGATCAGTGCGGCAGAAGATCTCCAGGGGTTTCTCATGTTGAGGGCAGATCAACTTCTTCAATTTGTGAGTGGCTTCAGTCACTTTGTGTTGATTTCCTGGGTGAATCTCTTGATGGCGCTGAAAATGAGTGTGACAGTAAGAGTTCAGACACACCAGACAGGACTTGACGGCTCTGTTTTTGGCTCCAGTACAGACGTCACACTCCACATCTCCAGATGCAGCGGGACTCTGAGCAGGACCAGCAGCTTGTAGTTTGCTCTTCTGCAGTTTCTCCAGCACTTCAGCCAGCATGGTGTTTTTAGCTAAAGCGGGTCTGGGGCTGAAGGTCTGTCTGCACTGAGGGCAGCTGTAGACTCTCTTCTGATCCTCCTGATTCCAGCAGTTTGTGATGCAGCTCATACAGTAATTGTGTCCACAGGCAGTGGAGACTGGATCCTTCAGGAGATCCAGACACACTGCACAGCTGAACTCATGATGAGCCACAGAAACACTAGATTCTGCCATTTTACTGCTCACACACACAGACAGAGTTAAACATGGACACAACGCACTGATGACTAATTGTTGCTTTCGGATTCTCTCAAGATTTCCTACTTTTAAAGGGGTGGGGCTCTGAAATGGCACTTGAGTCTGAAACGCCTCTTCAGCTGCCCTTCTTCTGCTCAAATTCACCTTATGATACTCCACAAACTCTGTCAACTCCACTAGTGTTGGATGGTGAGGGAAGGACAAAAGGTGACTATTTATTGACAAGTGATACAAAAACAAAGAAAAATTACCCAGAGGGGAAACAGATCAACAAAATAATAAAACTAGACTGGACTGCCAGCTGGCAGGGTGGGTTTGAACAAAGCAAGGCAAGTCTGGACCATCACTCAAACAACAATGACAAACTGACTCGGCATGGGAGTCAGTTGCTCTAACAAGGAGGCTAAAGACCATGGCCTCTGGTATTAGTCGCTGGAGCACCTTTAGAAGTCAGAGGAGTGAGATTTACCTGCACAGCACTTACTAGCTGGCCTCCGTTACACTTGCATCCTAAAGGACGAAAACCTTGGCCATGGCAAACACTCATTTATTGTGTTCATATAAAACAAAATATAATTGCATGCAGATGCGTTCACTTACCGCCAACACAAGACAGAACACAAGACACTAGCTCATGATAAGTGAAAGGACACCAACCACATGCTCACATATGTGGATACCCTGGCACCAAACTAAAACTGAAACCAAATTGACCAAAGCACCAATAAGCATACCACAGACAAACAGAACACAAAGGCGCGAGTAAGTGATCAAAGACCACCCGAGATCACATGCCTGCGACAGAAGACGAGAGCATCTGCAGCTTAAGCACACCTGAGACCAGGGCTGGACTGGGACAAAAAAAAATCGGCCCTGGCATTTTGGGCCAGAGCGGCCCACTACATCAATCAAAATGCTTCCCATCTGTGCATGCCCTTGAATATGTTTACCAACTGTCAGAACCCGGGCTTGAACTTTGCCCTCTTTCTTTTCTGACAGCGTTTTCTATCTTTCCTTACTGACAACATTCTAATTTGTCTCCAAATTTCTGTGCAACTCAGCTGATCGTCTTTAACAATTAGTAGCCTCATATGTTACTGCCAGCTGCCTTTCATTTCTGCTAATTGCTGCTCCTACATCTGAGGGTGTTTCACTTCTCTTTTTGCCAGAGTGTTGGGTTTCTTACAGCCTCCTTGTCGGTCTGTTGTATGTTATCATTGTGTTCTCTGTCCAGTTCCCTGGAGCCATTCCGGACTTGGTCTGCCCTACTGGAGAGTTGATCTTTTGCGTTGCCATTGCCCTTGTAACCCAGATTACTGAAGGGTTATATTTGTACATTTATAAAATAATATAAATGATCAGGGGATAAAACAACATATAACTGTGGATTCATTGTTCTAAAATGTTCTTAATAAGAAATAAATTGTTTAAAATTAATAATGTGAAATATTCACATGTTATTGGTTTAGCCAATCAGTGATGTCTGGGAGAGATCGCCAGACTGTGGAGGAAGAGAGAGTGAGATCGCTAGATTTGATGATTTAAACTGTGAAATCAGATTATAACTTTGAAACTAGTTTGAGAAACTTACAAAAAGCTTTCATAGAGAAGTATTTGAAGAGGATTCAGTCGTTAAATTGATCCTGTGACGATCGATGGGAAAATTGCATCATTGTGTTGTTGAGGAGTGAATATATGGACATGGTGAGTTTAATTACTTTGTAAACACTCTGAATTTAATGTTAAATGACAAACAAACACAGTTTGTAGAAAAACAAGAGTTTATTTTGCTGTTGTGTGATATATACTGTATTTAGTTGTCTCCACGTGTTATTATTTCCCTTCATGTGTATGTTCACATGCATATCGCCTTGTATACATGCCTAAAAAAAAGAGATACAGGTTAATTGTAATGACTATTATGTTATTTGCTTGTATGTGGAAATACTTACCTGATATGATGATATCATTGACTAAATGTAGTCATGCTTTTGGCCTTTTGTACAGGTCAGGTTTTTTTTCTTTGGTGTTTTTGATTGAAGACTGATTCACATTGATGGCGGGCCAACCTATTCGGACACTAGAAAAGGAAATTGGAAATTCACCCTACTGAACCAGGAGAGTACTTTAATACTTTTTATTTTTCCAGCTCAAGGTAAAAGACTGTTTTTTCCGTTTCTGGATAGAGACTGTTCATGTTTTTTCCCTGAGAACTGATTAAGAAAAAGACTAATACCAGCGCACGGACACTTGGAAATCAAACTATTTTCCTTTTGAAGTGAAATGAGAAATACTGAGTTTGTTGATTCTGAACAAGTGGTTTTCTTTACATTTTCAATGTAATTTCAATTGAACTTTATTTTGTTTTATTGTGTTTTAATTGTTTATTGTATTTTGTTAATTTTATTTTGGGGAAAGATCTGCAGAAAAATATATCTATAAACATTTCAAATACTTACCTATATAGTAGTTTCTGTCATTTTTCAGCAAATGCTCATTACCTCCAGTAGACGAATCCTAGGCTTCTGATGTCCAGATTGATTTGATAGTGTAACCTGTTACACCCTTCTCCTGCATTACCAGGCCTGGACCAAAGACTAACTTTATTTTTTGATTGAAATTTAGCCCACTCCTGATTTTTCTTTTTCATGTGGTGCTACAAATTTTTGTTGGTATTTTTCCTGTATTGTTGAACATTGCCTGTGGTCCAGTTTTCAGTTTATTTTTTTTTACTAAAGTCCAAGATCTGCTCTGGGATCTCAGCAAATGCTGAGTCACTTTCTTTTTGCTTATTTTATTAAAAAACCCTATTGAATCGAACTCCTCTGCTTTTGGGTCCTTTATACAGACATCCCTGACACCAACTCCCATTCTATAAAAGCACAAAAGCCATATATAGGAAATCATGAATTGACAAATTAAAAAACAAAAATTTTAATTTAGTGTTATAATAAAATTATAATCCACACTGGAAGTTTATCTTGTGTGTGCCTGTGTGTTTTAAGGGAACCTATATTAAACGATGAACATAACAAAAACTGTTAATGTATTAATGTAAATTAATAAAATAAAGATAAATAATAAACAACTCAACAATGAAACATCAAACATAGATTAAGTGCGGTTTATTCATAAACTAATTTTGAGAGGATCACGTGCTTATGATCAACACGGCTGGCTCATTATTAGCTCCGTAATCAGCACTATTAGATGATTACGGAAGCATTATAAATAACCTGAGTTTTTCACTCCAGTTATCTTCGTCTTGAAGCTCCCCCCCCTTTTCACAGACTTTTGTCTCTGCTACCCTCAGGCAGACGGTTCCCCAGCATCCGGTCACGCACCAGCCGCCTGAAGGAAAGTTTAAACTGCATTTTTTACTTTCCACTTTAATATTGTCAGTATTCTGCTGACACTTCAGTCTCGTTAATTCTTGTTTTGAGGGCAGAGTCCGGACACTAGTCCTGTGTTGTCTAGTATGTTGTGCTCAGCTCAAGTTTTTGTCTTTGTTATTGTATGATTGGCTTCTTGGCTGTGCTCGGGTTGTGTGTGTGCTCCTGCTTGATGCGTGCGTGTGAGGTTCGCTCTTGCTCTGGTGTGTTTGTTTTGTTCATGGCATGGTGTTTTTGTTCTCACCAGCCCAGTCTTGTTGGTTTTTAATTAGCGCTTGGATCGAAAACATGCATGCCGCATGTGGGTGGACGGTGAGTGTTTTCATTGATCGTATGCTTGTGTCTTGCACTTTGTTTTTGTTGGTGTTGTGGTTGGCATGTGGTTCATGTTTACATGCACCGCATGCTTTAGGGCCCATTTACACTAATAAATTTTAGATTTAAAATGGCATTTTAGAAAGAAAACGATCCGCGTCCACACTAGCGTTTCACCCAGCATTTCTGAAAAACTATGCGTCTACATTAAACAGCTGAAAAGGCACATCACGTGACCACACACACACACACACACACACACACACACACACACACACACACACACACACACACACACACACACAACATGTGCTTTGAGTACATACCCATATGAAAGCTGTGTGTGTCAGACTGTTCCTCAAGGATCTACCGCTGGATCTAATCTCACTATATTAGTTAAACGTGATATTTAATTCATCTTGTTGTCTATATCTAACAACATATTCCCCGACTTTGGTCTTTTGAATTTATTACTTGTTCTTAGGTGTTTTGGCTGAGCGCAAAGATAAATTAATATATTAATTAAACCACGTACACAGATTCTGCACATTGACTGATTGCTTGCCTTCATTTCCTTAATTTGTATAAACTTTTTGTACGTTATACTTTTATAATGGTTATTATTGATTTATAAAACTGATATTCAGCAAAAGAGAGGGTATATTTTGTATTTTCAATGAAAACGAAAGGAGGCAGTGATGTTATAGCCTTTGTTTTGTTATAAATATGCATGAAAATGACGATCATATTATGCAGCTACATGACGCCTCAACATTTTTGATGTCTGTTCAGTTGCTAATATCAAAATAAAATAGGCAGTTCCTCACGTCATGGTTTCATTTTATTGTTAAGATAGTGAAAGAGCATAGCCAGGGTGATGTGGATGAGGTTATAGAGTACACTGTTACATTTAAAGAATTACCTGACATGGCCTCTGGAGTTTTCCATATCTCCGTGAGCATGTCTCTGTTTTCCTCCATCCACACTGAGATGGAGCAGCAATGTTTTAGAATGAAAATGGCCTCTTCAGCATTTTTAAAGCACTCCGTTTTCGGGGCTCGAAAACCCCGGCGTAGTGTGGATGGATGGCGTAACCGTAGCAAAACTTATTCGTTTTAACACTAAAACGTTTAGTGTAAACAGGGCCTCAGTGTGTTTTATGCGAACGCGGTTAATGGATTGACTCATTGGCTGTGTTCTAGTCTAGACATGGCTTGTGTCATGTGCTCTCCTGTCTATTGTCTAGTCTCATACTCCTTGTTATCACATTACTAGTGTATTCAGTTCACCCGTGTGATATATCTGTTTGTTTGTTAATTATTTCTCCTTAATATCCTCCTCATGTCTGCTGTCCTGTGCCAGTTCGTCGTTGTTTATTGCCTTGTCCTGTCGTGTCTTGTTCCAGCCCTGATAGCCCTGATTCTTGCCAGCCTGACCAGTCAAGTGTGTTTGTGAATTTGTTTTGTTGATGTTTTCCCCCTCTGGGTAGTTTTTGTGGTCTTTTTGGTTTATTTTATAATAAACCCAGATTTTAGTTCTACATTTGAGTCCTTGCTCCTTTACCTATCTACTGAACGTTACAATTATATAAATCCTGAAATATAATTTAAAATAATTTAAAGATATTTTAATGTATATTATGTACTGTATGTATAAAGAGTTACATTCTAATATTTATTATAGATTCAATTAATGACTTAAAATATAGATGAATATTATGAAAAAATTACAGAATTGACTAAATGAAACACTAAAAACCTAAATCACAATATTCACAACACACTATTTTTAAAACCGTTCTGTGGTGTTTTTGCTTTTTGAAAGTTTTTTCTGTTGAACAACAATTAATTGAACACACCATATGTAGTGACACAAATTACCATTTTGTCACTTGAGGTGTTGTAGGGTTGTTTCTGACGCGTGAGAGCTCAACAACGAATCATCCTCCAAATACTGCTTATCAGATTTATTTTTTGCACAGACAGTTCTTATGGTTCAATTTCCACTCACAGTCTGATATATAAATGCTCATAAAATCACATAGAATGCCTCCATAAAGCTCTTTCAAACACGGTCAAAAAATGTTGTGCTTCCCTCTAATTACACACCTGTTGTTCTAAGTCTTTGTCTACCTATATACTCTTCCAAACCCACACTCCACCCAGTGGTCAAAAACAGCATTACAACAAACATAATGGCTCTTACACCCCGGCCCCTAATTGTACATGGCAGGTAGACATAACAATTCAACAATGTACATACAAAGAGCCATTAAAGCAACACTATAAACATTGCATTAATCAATTCTGTGTAGGTGTCAAATTTAACAGTCTTTACCATCAGTCCATTATATTTCCATGTTGTCATACAACAGACAAAGTTTTGTCACGGGTCTCTCAAGTACACTGGTTTTAGTTTGTACTCGCACAGAACGAACAAGTCCATTTTTATCTGGAAAAACCTCCAGAATTCGCCCCATTAACCAAGACCCTCGAGGGGCAGACGAGTCCACAATGACAACAATGTCACCAGGAACAAAGTTTCTCCTTTCCTTATTCCATTTCTGCCGATCTTGAAGCAAAGGCAAATATTCATTTGTCCATCTTTTCCAGAATAAGTCACACATATACTGGACCTGTTTCCATCTCCTCTTGCTGTATAATTCAGATTTTTCAAATAATCCAGGTGGTAATACTGGTTTACCTTTCATCTGAAGAAGATGGTTTGGAGTAAGTGGCTCCAAATCATTGGGGTCATCTGACAACTTAGTTATTGGGCGATCATTTAGAATGGCCTCAATTTCACATAGTACAGTATGGAATCCTTCATCATCCAAAATCTGCTGATGTAGGATGGAATTCAAAATTCTTTTGACCATTCTGATTACACGTTCCCAGATTCCACCATAATGCGAACCTCCTGGAGGATTGAAACTCCACTGGACACCTTTCTGGAGCATTGCCCTTTGAATCTGGTTTTGATTCCATGATCTCAGTGATTCCTTTAATTCCTTTTCTGTGGCAACAAAGTTGGTACCATTATCTGATCTTATTTGAGTTACTTGCCCTCGTCTGCAGATAAATCTTCGAAGAGTGTTAATACATGAATCAGTGTCCAATGAGTAGGCGACTTCCAGATGAACTGCTCGACTTGCCATGCAAGTAAAGATGACTCCGTAACGTTTTACAATGGAGCGTCCTCTTTTAACTTCCACAGGACCAAAATAATCCACCCCAACATTCGAAAATGGAGGCAAATCGGGAAGGAGTCGTTCCTTCGGCAAGTCTGCCATCTTCTGCTCACCCACCTTAACTCCAAAACGTCTACAATGGCCACAACTCGATATAATCCTTCTGGCAGCTGCATTACCCTTAATGATCCAATATCTTTTCCTCAGCTCTGAAAGCATATAATTTCTTCCACTGTGACCTAACTGTTGGTGTATATGACGCAAGATGAGCGTGGCAATATGCTGATCCTTAGCCAGAATGATCGGATGCTTTCTTTCTTCCGGCATAGCAGAATTTCTCAATCGTCCTCCTACTCTCAAAATACCATCTTGATAGACGGGATCCAATTTATACAGCTTGCTGTCTCGGCTTATTTTTGAAACAGGTGAAACTGACAGAGCATCGATTTCCTTTTTAAACTGTTGCCTTTGACTGAATGCAACAATAGCTACTTCAGCTTCATTCACATCCTGCAAACTTAAATTTGGTGTAACCACAGAACCAGTTAGTTTTCGAAGTTCTTTC